CCGTTGGAGATGACTGCTCTGAAAGGTTGCAACTTTCAGGAACAGCCATGGATCGGAACTCTTAGCTATAAATACCAGTGATTCTTCAGACTTTTTACTTATGAAAATTCCTGATTTCTACTTCTTCTTCTGCACAAATTTTATTAGTATACTTTACTGCCGTTGAGTGGCTCGCTGACACTAAAGTTTTGGGCATCAATAAATTAGTGATTGAGATCATTCTATCTTGGGAGGACATATTCCAAATCAAACCTCGGATACTAGAGGGGAATAATTTCTTTAAGGGGACATTGTACATTTAGTGGGCTTGATCTTCTTTTCATTGATCTGTTTTTATAGGTATGTTTTACAGATTTTAGATTTTTATTAATTAAAGTGAATTGGATGAAGTCAAATTGTGTTGTCGGTGACATAGAAATTACCCTTCTTTTTCTTTGCACCTTCATCTACTTGTACTTTTAGTGGTCCTGTGCATATTACATTAAAGTTTTCAAGATATTTCCTACATTTTGTTGCATTTGACTAGTTATTTATCTTCAATGAAATGTCTAGTCTTTATCTTGTTTTGTCATTCACAAAGAAATTACTACGATATTACTTTACTATTTTAAATAAACAAAGCCCACAATTTGTTGGGTATAGCTTTATTTTATGACGTTTTATTTAAGATTATTTGAATAATTCAATATATTTTCCATTGAGAAATAATATTTGATCCAAAGGTCAGTTTAATGGATATGAATAAAACTGGTATGATATTTCAGGTTCATGACCAATCATAGGCAATAACCAATAGGTGATTTAGTTCCTTTTGCCAAAATTTTGATGAAAAGAGTTATTCAATACCAATAAATAATCGAGATGATAACTGTTAGGATCGAAATAAACAGGTGTAATGCGGAAGTTAGCAAAGCAAACCTCGATAGATCACGAGTAAGAAGACAAATGAGAAATATACCAAGGGAAACAAAGATTTAACGTGGTTCAGCCAATCGACCTACGTCCACAAAGGAGATGAACAATCAACTATAAATATGAGAGTACAAAATATTGAGAGAATTAACCTCAACCAATTCACTCGAAATACATGGGAGGTCCACACAAGTGATAACGCATCAAACTTGTGTCCCACAAATTCCCCCCCTTACCAAAACTCTCAAAGCCCCTAAGACTACATTGTGAATGTTGATTAAGTTAGAATAAACAAGCCTATATTTATAGAGTTCTAAAATCTTTTCTACAAGAAAGGACTAGTAAAATATTAAAACATTTTTCTAAAAAAAAAACTTATTTATGGTAAAAAAGTTAGGACAAATAAAACCCAACAATAACATCCACTGTGATAAAATTTAAAAAAGAAAAAAGATATAATTTTTTTTATTGAACGTTGACTTTGAAAAATCTAGATGATAACACCACGTTCCTTATGTCTACTATAAACTTACTACTAGCATCCAAATAACATTAAGTACGTAGCTTTTTCAAAGATCACTTTGGTTTCTAAGCCTAACACCAATCTTCACATATCAAGTCTATGTTAATAATAAGAAACATATATCTAAAATAATAATACAGACAGTACACTCCTATCATTACTATGTCTTTTTGTTTCGTTGCTCTAAACTCACTGCTCTGAATTAACTTAATTCACCTTCTGGATTAATAAGCTGCTTCTACCATGAATATGAATGGAGATTATGCTTCTTCCGTAGAACTTTTGAGCTCTACATCTTGCAAAATTTTTGAAGATGGTGTCTACTCCAATTGAATTGAATTATTGCTATGGGTCCACAGTAATATGAACACAAAGGACAACTCAAAATATAAGTGGATGAAGCTACAAAGAAAGACTATACCTTGGAAAATATCTCCGTTGAATCGAATTATTGTGAGTTAGTTCTACTCAATATTATGTATCCGCATAGAGGCCTGACTTAATTTAAATTCATGTCGAGTCTCAAGAGGTGTCACATTGAGGATAAAACACTTTCTAACAAGGACTAGCTAGTCAATAATCAAGGCACAAATTTAAAATATTTAATTAAGAATGAAGGAATAGTTATAACTCTACCATAATCATCATTATTATTCGATCTCCCATTTAATAATTCTAATTAACTAATAAATTCTTTTTACTTATGGTTATGGATTCACCGTAAGAAAAATTGGACCATAACCCTGCTTTTGATTGGTTATTATTTGGAAAAAAAGAATGTAATTAATTATTTCTCTGTCCCAATTTATATAATTCACTTTCTTTTTTAGTCAACTCAAAAAAAATGCCAGATAAAAAACAAACAGTATACACTCCTATCAATAGTTGCTCGACCACTTGAGCTACATTGATTCCAAAAGAAGTGTCACATCACTTGTATTAAAACGGGAGTTATATAAATATCTGTAGATTCAAGAAATCTACAAGATTGGATTAATGTATACGGTATACCCAACTTCTTTTGCGAATCTATTTCTCAAAGCCAATAATCTAGTTGTTTTGTAACAAACAGAGAAACTTGTCACCTCTAGATGGAAATAGAAAATACTCATTTCATTTCAATTTGTCTGGTTTATTTTTTATTTTTTAATCCGCTTAAAAAAGAACGTATCTTTCCTTTTATTTAAGGAAAAATGACAAGGGCAACTTGAGAGTATTTGAAAGCTTTCAAGAGTTCTTCTAGGATCGAATCACCATGTTTTAGCCTTTTATTAATTTAAAAGGTGAATATTCTTCTCCTTGTCAAAAATTCATACAAGTAACACGTAGTTATTTTACGAGTATCTTTACCTCTCAGTAGTCAACTAGTACATTTACATTGAATATTAGTCGTCCATAGTAAGTAGTAGGAAATTTCTTCAGGCCTTCCACACATTTATATTTGATTGTGACACATGGATTAAAGTGCTGACAATTGTGCATGAACTTGACGAATTCCAACAAAAATTGGGGAAAGGTCACCCAACTCTAAAAAGACAACTAAAAAGAAATAAAGGCGTGGGAGCCACGCGCCTTACAAGGCACACGTGCCTTCTTTTTTACACTGTTAACCGTGTTAAAAAATTTGGGGTAAGGTGTGGGGATCATGGGCACTTTGCTCTTTAATTTTTTCGTTGTCTTTTTGGAATTTTGGCAAGCTTCAAAGAAAAAAGTATCCCAAATGAGAAAGAAACAAAATTTTAGGAGAAGTTAAATGGAATTATTGTAATGGGTGGAGCCACTGGAGGTGAAGGGTGGTTTGATGCACATATCGCTAGAAAATTATGTGGTATATCGAGATTAAATATTACTCTGTTATTATAAGTGTATATTTATTTTTTCACACCCTTAACATAATTAAGAAAAATATTTACACACTATTCGCTAAACTCCTAACTCCACCACGAAATTTATAATATATTGCTACACAAGTACAAACACCAACCTCCCTTTATCTTCTCTGCCAATATTTGATTGAAATTTGTCTTTAATTTCACCGAAAGCAGACGACTTTGACTTTAAAAACTCTACTGGAATGGAATATATAATTATTGCTATTTTTTCAAAAAACTTTTTGTGTCTAGTGTAATTTTTGACCATCCATTCTAGAAGGATTGTGGTAAAGCGGATGGGGTTACTCCTCACTTAACCAGAAATTTTGGGTTCAAATCTTAGGTATGGATAAATCCTGAGCGATTTCCTTCAAATGGGGCCCTACGTGGTGTGAATTCAGAATAGTCAAGCTTCAATACGAATATCGGACACCAGATAAAAAACAAAAGAAATAAAATAAAAAATATATTCTAAGAAATTTCAGCTCCACAAATCCAATGGGATTTTAACCATACATTTATTACTGATTTGAAGTTATCACAATTGAATATATATGAGTACCTTTCACCATCTCTTAAATTTCTATTGCTCCTCGATAGATCAATGTTGTTAATTTAATTAGCAAATAGGGTTAACTTATAGTGCTAGTAATTATTTAATTCTTCTCATTTATGGTTATGGACTCACTATCCAAAAAGTAAAATTGGACCACACATATTTTTATTTCAGAATGTATCTAGTATCTTTGATATATGTATTTGACTTGATATCTAAAAAATAGTGTATTTGATTTGAAATTTGGTACAAAATTATTAATTAGTAAGACACTATGTATTTATTTCAAACTATTAAGTGAACTAGTATTTATGGTAAAAACTATAAATTATAAAGTGAATTAGACTTGACTTCGCAATGAATTGATGAAGTCAAGTCGTGTTGTCGGTGACATAAAAATTACCCTTGTTTTTTCTTTACACCTTTATTTGCTTGTACTTTTAGTGGTCCATTAATTGTGTGCATATTGCATTAAAGTTTCCAAGAAATTTCCTACTTACTTCTACTAATGTACATATTTATTAAAATGAGTTTTTTGACCGGTTATTTATCTTCTATACAATGAAGTCTACTCTTCATGCTTGGCCAGTTATAAAGAAATTGCTAGGACATTATCTTATAGTTTCAAATAAACATGACCCACATTTGTTAGGTAAAGTTTCATTTTATGTCTTACTATTTAGATTATTTTTATTCATTTAATTTATTTTCGACCAAGAAATGTTTTGATCCTAAGGTTAGTTTTAATGGATATCAATAAAATCGGTATAATGTTTCAAGTTAAACTTTTATCTGAGGCAATATCTTATTAGGATTGGTAAGGTAATTAGCCCCTCTTACTTGTACTTATTCTTATTAATCACTCTGTCTAGTGGTAAATTTGCTAAAAAAAAAGTAGGTGATTTTTAGTTCCTTTTTCCAGCATCATAGTTTAATGTTTCTTATAGCAAAATATATGTATGTTCATCTCTTTTGACAACTCTGATTCTAATTCACACAACTCCAGCTCCAACTCCGACTCCAGTGGAATACATTTGATTCCTGGAAATAGCCCTTTGCTCTGTTAGCTTTGAGACGTGAGACGACTTACTAATAGTTCTAATGCTCATCTGCAATTGGATTTTGGACAGGCTACTCATTAGCAAATGTTAAGATGATGTGATTTTATTTCATAATGAAACGTGGTATATATTCTGGTGTAAGAGAGATGTCGTGTCACCTTTACTAATATATAAGAGAACAGATTATTGCATACCCAAGTTCTTTCGCAAATCTCTTTCTCAGGCCAAGACTCTAGTTGTTATGTTACAAACAGAAGAAACATGTGTCCTTCATAGGCAGAGTTACCGATGTTGTTCTCAGAGTACCATGATCCCAGTTTGCACTGCAAAAGTATCAAAAACCAAAAGAGTGAAACCACTTATAATAAGTAATCGAGATATAGACGCTACTTATTACTTTTATAAAGATCGAAGGAAACAAGCTAAACAGCAGACAGTAAGATAATATTCCTAATCACAATGATTTCACAACATCTTATATTTCACATTTTCCTTCAAAAGAAGTACACGAGAACTGAAAGAGATCACGAGGGTGATGAACCTCAACTTCACCGTCTCACACTGTGCTGCACTTTGATTGTTTCATCTTATTCCCAACTTCCCTGCCATAACAAGAGAAGTATTTACATTAAAAACAGAGATTTCTGAGAGAGCATCAAAATCAAAAACATACAACAAAGTATAAATCGCGATACTCAGAAAAGCAGAATACTGGCTTTGCAGTAAATGAATACAGATTGAACCTCCATGTTTTACTTGCTACAAATATGATAATGTCCCCGGAAAAAAAAGTGTATTGCTAAAGTTAGAGCATGATCAAATACCTTGTAATGCTTTCAGAGTATTCGACAGATTCTGGTCACAGAGTCATGGTGTTTATACAACAAACGAAGTCCACACTTCTTCACATCTTCAGAAAAAGTTAACTTAATGCACCAATAGTCATTTGGTGTTTTTCCATTTGCCTTCAATTTATCCAATAAGCCAGTAAGAGGTACCAAGAAAAAATGAATAGCAGGTAAAAAAGGATATTCTTAATGGATGGATAAGGCAAGTTTCTGGGCGATACACGTCACCGGCCTCCCATGATAACAAAACAAGTGAGCTATGCCGTCATTATATTTGCAAGAGAAACATACAGCAAATCCCAAGAAGTTCTCACTTACATACCAATTTTTAGGCAATTTGACATATATGCTTGTACCATCTTCCCGATGGTGGAACCATCTTGGGATATTATCCCCCTCAGTGGTGAACACTCCTAATGATAAGGAATCTGAAGTACATAAGTCATGCTGCAATGACGAGATATTCTGAAACAACGAATTACAAATTGAATCATTGCTCCAATCTGCCGCTATTGTATGTAGTTGTTGTGGAAATTCTGGCAGTTGTGTAAGCCTCATGCAATGTGATAAGTCCAAGGTTTGAAGAGCACCAAGTTGGGCTATGCTTCGAGGCAAATGCTCAAAATTATTTCCACCGAGTTTCAACTCTTTTAAAGAGGATAAGGATCCAATGTCTTCCGGAAGTCCTCCATCTATTATATTGCAATAACTGAGATCCAGAGATTTCAATGAGCGTAATCCTTCATCCACCTGAGGGAAAAAAAAGTACACTCCATCTACTCGTTTTGCAAAAGTCAAGAATTTAAGCTTGTTCAAGCGGATGATGGAAGATGGAGGTCGTGAGATTAGAGTAAAGTGGGCATCAAGGCGCTCCAAGTTTTCTAAATCGCCTATCTCTTCTGGCAATCTTTCAAGTTTTACGCAGAAGGACACATCTATCCTCACCAAACCTTTCAACTTACAAATGCTGCTTGGAAGAGATACAAGGTTTTTTAAACCAGGCAAATGTAGGTCTCTAAGATGAGCTCGGGGATGAATGATCGATAATGGCAGTTCCCTTATCCCAGAGTATGACATCGTAATATATAACTCAGGCTTCATTATTCCGAGGAATTCTGGAAATTTCTCTAAACTAGAGCAGTATTTCAGATTCAGAGATTTAAGAGATTCTGCATTAACATATGGGAACCTCTCAAGGCTTTCACAATAAGACAAATCTAACCCAATGAGTTTTCTGGAACATCCCAGGGAATTTTGAACCTCTTCAAGACTCCTACATTCTCTTAGATCCAAATACTCTAAATTTGGCATCGCCTTGAAATCTGGTGTTCTCTTCAGGCTTTTGGAGCCCCTTAGATTTAGAAACCGTAGAGACGGCAATTGTTGCTATTCAAAACACATAAAGAATGAGTAAAGTAGTAAACGACATTTTAGATAATGACTCAACATGTGAAATTAGAAATTGTTTATTTTACTTTTTATGTAAATTACATGCTCGGAAACTAGATAAAAATCATGTTATTATACATAAAAGGTAAAATGATAACATGCTTAGCATGTTATTATTTGGTGTACATTTGAATATTGCAATTGTACTCTTAAATGTCCCCCATATTTGACCATCTCCCTCTGGACGTTGACGTGGAAAAGAGTGTGAAAACACCTTTAATTTTTAGGCGTGTGAGGGTAAAGAAAATAGAAAAAGTAGCTTCCAAGTGGGATATTTTGATGTAAACTATTTATTCTCGCTTCTTCTTGATAGAATGCACATTTTATCAAGAACAATGGCCAACAAACTTAGCTAGAAAACAATGGCCGATGAGAAAAGTAGTGCCAACATATATTTGTTTTTGTTTCTTCTTTAGATGCAGAGGTTGGAAATGCAATTCATAGAGATTAATATTATGAGAACAACCCAAAATAATGTAAAATATCTACATTAATTTGATTTTATGACTTATTTTATTTAAACACAAGAATTATGATTTTAGGACAAGATAAAATATAAAGCATCTCAAACAGAATGGTACCTTTGTTTCATTCCATAAATAATGCAATGAACTCCATCGGAGATCAACATGAACGAGCCTTTTGGGATTAAAATTTTCTGGCAATAACTGCCAAGGATAATCATGCCAGACAAACCAACGCAAGTTGTTGGAAAGGTACTCAATGGAGCCAGCATGGCAATTGGAGTCAGATGAAAAGGAGGCCCTCATCCTACTATATTCGTCTCCATTGTGTATGCATAATATCCTAAGCATTTTCATATTTTTCATTGCCTCTTTATTAAAGCTTAGTTCTTCAAAATAAGTAAACCAGATTGCTTTCACTGCCATGGTCCCCTAGTAAAAAAATTATCAGACAAATTATAACTTTAGATGTCATGTAAAATGTGCAAACCAATAACGCTATTTTTCTTACTCCTTGCTACGACTAAAATGACATACCTGCAAGAATGCTCTCTCTGCGCCTAATTACTTGTCTAATTTTTCATTTTTACTTGTCCATTTTGACAAATCAAGAAATGACAAAAAAAATTTACATATTATACCCTCAATTAATTAATTTTGAAAAAGGTAGAACTTCTTGAAAATCTTAAAATTTTAATTTATCCACTTCATAATTAATAGGGGTAAAATGGTAAACTCACTATGTCAATCATTGTTTTCTTAATAGGTGTGTCAATTCAAAAGTGGACAAGTAATATTCTATATGCTTTTTGGAATATGAAAACTAAAATTGAATATTAATTATTGCATTATTTAACCTACTTACCATATTGTTGTCTATCACTTCTTTGAAATCTTTAACATTCCATAATCTGCTATATTCTCCCGGATGCTCTTGCATTTGCACTATACATTTACCCATATCTTGTATTAAGTCATGCATTTCAATCTCATTATTTTCAGAGATGATCACAAGAGATTTGTTAACTAGAACACGCAATCCAATTTTTGGTCCAGAATAATAGCTCTCAAGAACTTGCATGACCTTTTCTTTTTCAATTCCTCGGAAGAAACATGCTATATCTAGAAATATCTCTTGTTCTTCGGGCTCCAACCCATCAGAACTTATTTTGAGATTTTCAGTAATTTCTACATCAGAGTTTTTCTTTATTCGGACCAAAGCACTTTCCCACTCAGTTATATCCATCCGGTGTAATGAAGAACCCCATACTTTCAGGGCTAAAGGATGGCCTTTAGCAAGACTTACTATCTTCAACGTTAGATTCTTAAAACGCTCATTTGGAACTTTTTCTTTGAAAGCATATTGATTAAATAGTTTAATAGCATCACAGTCAAGTAGTGTTTCCACTTCAAATACTACATCATTTTCCCCTATCAAACGCTTGTCTCTAGTGGTTGCAATAATCCTGCTACCCTTGCCAAACCAACTGAGATCCTTTGCTAGGTATTCCAACTGGTCTATGTGATCTATGTCATCAAGCACAACTAAAACCTTCTTAAGCCGAAGTCTCTCAGACAACATGCTCCTCCCCGCCTCCGTATCATCCACGGAATTATCTTTTTCCCCTAACAGTTTAGAGAGAAGGATATTTTGCAGAGAGTGCATTCCATGTTTGTTTTCTTTGATATTCTCAAGGAAACAAATATCTTTAAATTTGGATGAGAGTTTAAAAAAAATAGTCTTTGCTAGTGTTGTTTTACCAACACCCCCCATTCCCCAGATCCATACAATCAGGACATCATTGATTTCCATCTGTAGTAGGGATTCTACTTTCCTTAATTGAGTATCTATGCCCACAACTTCTTGCAAATAAGATACTGAAGTATTGCACTTAGACGAAATTTGATCAACAATATGCTCAATACAGTCTGCATCTGACTTAACACTGCAAAAAAAATGCTAATATAATTATTGAAGATTATGTTTTGAGCACAAATTCTTTGTTCTATAGTAGAATATAACTACATGTAGCTAGTCTTCATAAATTATTTCATGCTCAATTCAATATATGTGTTTTTTAACTCACCCGTTAGGGAATACATATCCTTTCAGATTTGCGGCAGCAGTTAGGGCAGTTCTCCATCCTTGCACCTTCTGCATCCCCTCAACATCATCCTTATACCTCGATTCGTGTTTGGCAAATGCTTCTTCAAAGCTCTTACTTTGGTATCGAACATGTGATGGATCCACATCACAGAAGATCGGTATGACTATTTGTCCATTTTCTTTCTCCTTGCATTCCATAATCTTCACTAGTTCATTCAAGCACCATCTTGACATAGCATAATTCCTTGAGAAAACGATTACGGCAACTTGAGACACTTCTATAGCTTTCCCGAGTTCTTCTGAGATGGAATCGCCATTCTCTAGCCTTTTATCATCTAGAAAGGTGAATATTCCCCTGTTTTTCAAACCTTGGTACAAGTGACTCGTAAAATTTCTCCGGGTATCTTCACCTCTAAAACTTAAGAAGACATCATACTTCCAGTAGAGTGAGTTACTTGCAGAAGAAGAAGATGATGCCATGGATGTTGATCTGAAAAATGAAAACAGAAATTCTGTGGTAATTATAAGATGAAGAAATAGAAAGAAAAATGTTTCTGTGAATTATTAATGCTTTACAAGAAAAAAGTGAATCACATGGCCTTTTTCTTTAAGCAGAATTGACTTCAAAGGGTCCTACTTGAATCATTTATTTTGGAAAAGTACTTATTGAAATTATAAAATATGTTAATTCAACAACCGTAACTTATTAAAGACGAGATGACAGTGAGTTGCTCAGATGGTAAACACCCTCACTTTCAATCCTAACGTTGTAAGTTCGAACTACCAAGAAACCAAAAAGAGTGAGAGTTCTTAGGGAGGGTGAAAAAAGGTTATTTACTAAAGAAGATGTTAACAAACAAATTTTCAAGTATTATTTATACTTTAAACTTCTCCATGAAGATGAAGAATTACAGAATTCAAGAGATTTCTAGAAAAATAACATCCAATAATTCAATGCTATCATTTTACAAATGCCATGATAACTTCATTAAGCTTGGAAATAAAAAGCAGTTTCGGATTTTATAAAATTCAGTAATATAGGTATGTTGATAAAAAGGATTAATATGCATCATTTATTAGACGACTAGACACAATCTTACACGAAACTGATTTTTCTAGTGGAAGTAGAGAAAACAAATTTTATAAATAATATTCCACACCAACTAAAAATTAAAAAAAAAAAAACGTATCTATCCCTATGAATGTATGCCCAATGAATAAAAAACAAATATGAAAAGTTTTCTGGAAGATGGGGTTTACTCCAATTGAATGGAATTATTGCTATGGGGTCACAGTACTATGAACACAATGGACAGCTGGATGAAGCTGCAGAGAAAGAATATACCTTGGAAAATATCTCCCTTAGAATCGAATTATCGTGAGTTAGTTCTACTCGGTATTATGTATCTGCATAGGGGCTTGACTTAATTCAAATTCGCAACGGGAAGTCTCACATTAAGAGTAAAATACTTCCTAACAAAGGCTACTCATTAATATCCAAGCCTTGAACCCAAAATAAGTGAACCAAAAATTTAAGCTTGTTCATATAAGTTAACTCACCATGGTAAATCGTGGCTCAGCACAAGAGAAGAACAATTTATATTGGTTTTGGAGAGAATTGTATATATATATATATATATAAAAAGATAAAGGACAATTAGTAAACAATGAATGATTGAATATGAAAAATAAACCTCCATTTCACCATCCAACAAACAACAAAATGTGTCTCTGTACAAATATTATTCTTATAAAATTTGAAGAAAAAAAAAAAGTTGCTTCTGGTGCATGATCATTCTCATTTCAAAACGGATTGCCTGGCTTCATCTTGGTGTTCACTATCATCATGGATGTTAGTTCATCATTGTTTCTGAGAAGAGGAACAACCGGCCTCAATCTTCGGTTCATCTTTATACATTTTCTCCCATTCCCTGATGGTGAAACCAACTTGGGATATTCTCTGGCCAACTCGTAAACACTCTTAGTGACAAGGAATCTGAAGCATAGATGTCATGCTGCAATACTGAGATATTCTGGAACAATGAATTAAAGATCCAATCATTACTCCAATCTGCACGTATTGTATGTAATTGCCGTGGAAATTCTGGCAGCTGTGTAAGCCTCTCGCAATGTGATAAATCCAAGGTTCGAAGAGCACCAAGTTGGGCTATGCTACGAGGCAAATGCTCAAAATTATTTCCAAAGAGATTCAACTCTTTCAAAAAGGATAAGGATCCAATGTCTTCCAGAAGTCCTCCATCTGTTAGATTGCAGAAACTGAGATCCAAAGTATCCAAGTATTGCATCCCCGTGAAACCTGGCAACTCTTTGAGCCTCTTGCAATATGATAAGTCCAATAATTGAAGAGAACCTAGTTGGGCTATGCTTTGAGGCAAACACTCAAAATTATTTATATTGAGGTACAAGTATTTCAACAAGGATAAATATCCAATGTCTTGCCCCCAAGGCCTAGCTCAAGTGGCAAAAAGTGGAGGATTTGTGGCTTAGGTCGCAGGTTCAAGCCCCACACCATGCAAAGCGATGCCCGATATTTAAGTGGAGAAGGGTAGAGGGGCAGGCCTATTATCCACTGAGTTTAGAAGGTTGTGATTGGTCCAAAGGGCGGGTCACAGACGGATTTCTCGGTTATCAAAAAAAATAAAAAATCCAATGTCTTCCAGAAGTTCTCCATTTATTAGATTGCAGTTCCTGAGTTTCAGAATTTCCAAAGAGCATAACCCTTCAGCCATGTTAACACCTAGAAACTCTGTAAACCTCATGCACTCTGATAAGTCCAAGAATCGAAGAGAACCTAGTTGGGCTATGCTTTGAGGCAAATGCTCAAAATTATTTCTATTGAGATTCAACTCTTTTAAAGAGGATAAACATTCAATGTCTTCCGGAAGTCCTCCATCTATTAGATTGCAGTAGCTAAGATCCAGAATTTCCAACGACCGTAACCCTTCAGCCATGTTAACATCTAGAAACTCTTTAAGCCTCCAGCACTCTGATAAGTCCAAGGATAGAAGAGAACCAAGTTGGGCTATGCTTCGAGGCAAACGCTCAAAATTATTTCCCCTGAGATTCAACTCTTTCAAAAAGGATAAACATCCAATGTCTTCCGGAAGTCCTCCATCTGTTAGATTGCAGAAACACTGAGATTCAGAATTTCCAATGAGCATAACCCTTCATTCTGTCAATTTTCTGCTGAATGCCTCTCAAAGTGAGAGTCTTTCCATTATATAGAGAAAATAAAGATTACACATCCCTAAAGATCCGCCATTCCTATCCCTAAAGATCAGCTATTCTATCTCTACAAATCTGC